CTTTTCAATCAAAACAGTCGAAGTTGATGCCAAATGAGGCCTGGTTAACACTGTGATGAGCTGTTGCCGCTCTCTGAGTTAATGAGTTATGACTAACTCATCGGTTAATGCGTCATAACTCATTTATTAAAGCCGATTAAAGCTGTACGAAACCCTAGACTGGAAAACTTATTTTCGTTTTTGTCCCGAATTCGACGCTGAAAAAGGTTTTTGTAAAACTATTTCAGCTACAAATTAATCTTGTAATTTTTCGCGTAAAATACCTCCAAATTGTTAGTATTTTTAAGTGAAACTTTATAAAATAGAGCATTTTTGAGTATAAAGTAAAGCAAAAAAAATCCGATCAAAACTAAAAACCCATATCAAAAGAGAGATACTTTCGAGGCCATTCCTTGAAACTAATGGGTTCTTCGGGTTTTTAGGCCGTCGGCCTAAAATGCTTACACTGTTCTGATGATAGACCAAAACAGTGCAATCCTTCAAGGAAACCACTTCTGAAGATGCAAGCCACTCGTGCTTGCGAAACGTCAAGAAGAAATTCTACTCAACGACGGCCTAAAAACCCGAAAAACCCATTAGTTTTAAAAATCCATAGTTTTTAAACCAACTCTACAGTCTTTAGAGGGATGGGGGTGATGAGTTTTTAAAAACTGTCTGTTAAATTATGTATGTCTTTATTCTGTTCGCTTTTTAATAAAGAATTAGTTAATTTTTGTCCTAAATTTGAAGCTGGAAAAGGATTTCAATACTTGTTACGAAATGTTGTAATAATGTAAATGTAATGTTTAAAATTATTCGCAAAAATATACTTTTATTGTCAATATTTGTATGTAAAACATTAGAAAAATGAGCGATTAGAAGAAACAGTAACTTTGCTAAAACTAAAAAATTCTGAAATTGAAAAAAAACTAAAAATATTGTTAATAAATGGCCCTTAAAATAAATCGAAGAACAACTTAACAACAATTGAGCTTATGCCAAATATATCATGTATATTAATGGGCCAAAGTAAGCGAATCCACTCAGTCAAACGTGTAACATCATCGAGAAAACTGACCAAAAACAACTAACCGACCAATGAGCTTAAAAATGAAAAACTAATAATAATAACCCGTTCGGAGCCAGCAGACCATGTGGGTACAATCATGGGACTAGACAAGCGCGAGTAATTCAATTACCAGCGCGGTTGATTTTTGCTTTTCTATCAGAACTGATTGTTTTAATTGGTGTGCCGGTCCGAAGCTCATTTATCAACCTTGATAAATCGATTCTAGGATGTCATTCTTGTGATTTTGTATTGTTGCGTTATGATGGTAGGGTAGGGCGGTCAGTGCGATCAGTTCTCCACTTAAGCCTGATTTATTTTGATACAAGGAGAATTTATCATTGGAAATTTAATCCGACAGTCAATGAATACTGTACAATTGTTTGAGTTCAAACTGTTCAAYAGTGGGTCATTGATTTCCCGATTTTTCATACATTCTTGGTTTCCCAACACTGGTTGATAATTTTTTCGGCGTTCATTTTTTCTGGGTTCGTTGSGACGACGCCACTGCAAATCGTAATTCTAGTCACTCCTGCTAATAAAGTCAGCTGCTTTATCCTCGCAGATAAAGCTAAYGGCATCGACTGAGGCGACAGCGGCAGGAGACAATGTGCCATTCCTGCCAAAACTTTCCTGCGGATCAGATACRTATGGGAAACACATTCATTTAATTACACAGATGGTMGCGTCGACGCTTCCTGGGTATTAAGAAGGGTGTTGGAGATATCGATGAGGGGCTCAAATCGTGATAACGGAGTTCCATAGGGCTAATGGAGCTCTTTTCCCATTTGTCTTCAATTGCTATGAATGAAATGAACATCTTGGCCGCTTTCAGTAACTCTCATACAGTAAAGCACGCGACAATTTTGCTGGTCGTTCCCGTTGATAATTCAGAAAACTGTCCCAAAATAAATTCCGGCGCTGGAATGCGTGATAAAAATCAGTCCTAAATCACGTCCTGTGCACTAGCAGATAGTTAATTTCTCTTCCTCTTCATATTCATAAATCACCTGATCGAAAAATAATCCGAAACAGGGTATTAGTGCAGTAAATTTGAACTGTCGGACGGGCTGAAACAGTGGCCGCATTATCCTTCAGTCGGTACAATACCGAATCGGAAGAGTCGAAAAGCACGACGAAAACCGTGAAATACATAAATAAGGATCAGGCCCTAAGTTTCAGCTCTTACTAACAAACAAGCGAAAATTTCGTCGCCCACGGAGCGTTGGGAAAACAGGCTCTAAATTTCGAGCGCTCAGCAGGAGAATTTTGCCAGTAGATTTGTGGAGTGACGACCAACGAATCCGGTCAGTCTTTCCAGCATTTGTACTTTGAATTGTACAAGTTTGCACACTAAATTTTAAATTTTACCTCAAACCACTGTCTCCTACAAGGCACCGACAAATCAACCACATCTAAGCAGCAAAGAAAATTTAAAAAACCCTTCGCGCTTTTGTGGCGCTGAAATAAATAAACATCTAATCTAATCTAATAATAAGCGAAATTGATCAGTTCTTCCGACTTTAGTCCCGAAAAACTCACAAGTTTCCTGCAATAGCCACGAGAACTTAGCTTTTTTTGATCAAACCGTTTGTACAAAAATCGAGTACAACCACGTCAAGTTGTAGACCCGTCTGTATAGTGCCGTATTTATTATCACCAATATTAGTGGACGGGTTTTTTACTAATTGCCGTCGGCGAAAATACATTCCAATTAGTACCGAAAAGTCTCGCTTACGAGCCCAGTTTGAATTGTGTTAGCAAGAAGACTAGAAAACTACGAATTATAGTTTAGGCCATAATTACTCGCGGGGTAAAAAAACTCAAAGTTTTGCTATTTATCGTTTTTCCAGCAAAATGGGACATTTTCTCGTCCCTAACTGGTCGATGCTAGTTCAAAGTGTTGAGTTGCATAATATGACTATTGAGTTATTCGCCTCGATTTACAATAAATTCTCTGAAGCCAAAAAAGTATGATCGAGTAAGAGTTTAAACATAATTTTCCTTCAAGTTCATGCAAATGTTAGTTAGGCGTTCTTCGAACTGTACAGTGAGTGATTTTAACGCCGAATGGAACTATGCTTTAAATTGTTGATTAATGTTCAAGCTTTGCAACTAAAAGTGAGAGGAATGTTGATTCAGTGCAAATAATTGCAACTTCTATGCTGTAAACATTAAGTATTTCATTTGCGCTCGTTCGTTTCAAATGTTAGACCAAATTGCTTCAGTTGCTGCAAAAAATTCTAGAGAAATCGTGTTTCTTTAGTCTTTCAAATCAATTTATTATATCTCTTCTAGCTCTTTGTGTAAATTTGTCATGACAAATGCTAGTTTTGTTGCCAGTTTCTCTGTTTTGTGTATCTACTTGAACTGAGCACCATTTTTTCAACCCAGCCTAATTAAAGCAAATCACGAGGCTCTTTAAAGTACTTAAATATGTGTTTAGAGTATCACCTTGTAGGAGCAATTGGCAATCCTGAGCTCCAAATCGGGTAAAATTCACTCACATTTATACTTTCGCTGCTGCTCGTGTACACATTCTGAGAAAAACTTTAAAATAATGAATTTTCCTCATTTGAACTGATTGTAAATTTTAAGCGGAAGCGTGGAATTGAATAAATAATCTACAGCTGATTTAATAGCGTATTTCGTTTATACCCTGAAAGTATTTACACTAGAAAAGCAATTTGCGTAATTGAAATAACTGACTAGCGGCGATCTGCTTACAGTATCTTCAAAGTTAATTTGCTGCTCTGCCAAAAGTTCTTTACCGACTTGCCTTGATTGTTCTCTCAATGCACTCGAATCTACAAGAACGGACGCCCGCGGTCAAGAATTGAGTTATTGAGTGTATTTGTTTCGCTATTTTGCTCCTTTTAATTGCTTCCAGCCTGGTAATTCCAGAGCGGCATCTTATTAGAGTTGAACTAGCCATCTTAACTTTTAGGAAACACATTTTTCTGCCATTTACTTAAATTGGAAAACCTATGAATATGTTCAACTTTTGGCTTTGCTAACCGCAGTTGTGGCCGTCAAAGTTTATAATTATGAAACTTGGTGGATTTAAAGTGGTTTGGAACTTTCCTCGATTATCTGCTGAAATTTTCTCGTTTAGTTTAAGTGCAACCAGTTTAGTTGGTTAATCATTGTTATCAAGAATCGCGTGCTCAGAAGAATCCTTAAACTAGTTAAGGAAAAAGCAATCACAATCCGTTAGTTGCCCTTAAAAATACTTAATTACGTTCGTTCATCACCACATTCACTTTTGTACCAACAAAGCTCCTGATGGAGCTTTTACTTGGAAGTGATCATTATTACGATGAAGCTATCGGCTCAATATCGTATTAAGCGAGCAAAACAAAACCGAGAAATATATACAAACCAATCTGAATCGAATCGAACAGATCTCCTATTGGGTATAGCTGAAAGACACAATCACATAATGCACATCTTTGACACATTTTAATGAACCAACAGACCGTCTCACAGTGTAATCGGCCTCGTATTGTCTGTCCGATCTAAGAATTTATTCTTATTAAATCAGTAAATCAACATCAGTCCTTTAGGAACCTGATCAGCTTGGGCCTGTTGTTGTTTGCTTTCGAAACACTCTCTTGTTTGGCTGTGGTTCCCCAGGAACCTTCAGGCCATTGTTCGAGATCGGATGAGGAACCGCGACTGATTGATGGAGATGTTTGGAGTGGTTTTGGGTTATTGCGTTAAATAAATTCAGTTGTTTATTTCGTGATTTTTCATTTTCACTAATGAAATGTCGCTCAACTCATAATTCTACAAGGTGTTCAACAAGCATGTGATATTAGTGGATTCTGTTCAATGCAGCGGTAAAATGTTAATTTTTGTGGTGTCCGCCACAAAAATGTAGCCCTGTGTATTTTCAGTGTAATTTTTATTAATATGTTCTTGCACTTGTGATTAACTAATTTTTTTATTCCAGTGTTGGGAGAACTGCGAACTGCTGCAGTCGAACTTTCAAATCTGGGGCCAAATGTGCGAAGAAAAAGAAATTTGTGTAAGTATAAATGTATATTTACTCTTCGCGCTAATCGAGTAGCTATTATATTTTGTGGAATATAGTGTTTTGGTCACAATTTTTCAGTTTCGGCACGAAATTCGCCTCTACTTGTCTTTCAGCAACTTTTGGACCATTTTATAAATTATGATAGTTTGAATGAGCATTATTAACAGGTGATTTTACATGAAACTTTTACTTTTCAGGTAAGACACGCTCTTTCTTAATCGAACATTTCAAAGACAATAAAATACTGGGAAAAACACATTTTTTCGTTTTCACCTTAACAGCGGGTTATACTTCATTTTGAAGTTCTGTTTGTTAAAAAACACTCTGTACATTTTCAATTTGATAATGATAATCTACGTAGAAATGAATATCCAATATGGTAATCGTATTCATTTAAATCGTATCAAAAGGACGCGAATCAACAAAAAATACCCCAACATTGGAAAGCACAACTTGGAATTTATTTAGACTTTCAAAATCTTCTTTATTAACGTTAAGACGTCGTTCCATTCAGTAGCAATTCCATTTGAAATCGTCTTTTCTCTTCTGCAGCCATGGACTTAATAAATACTTTTTATTCGCGGTTGAACAGAGTTGGTGTGAAAAAATTGGCAGTTTCCAACAATGGCGTGAATAGAACAATTCGAGAAAACCGAGAAATTTACTTTATTTGATTAAACGCCTTGGTCCCGAAGAGTTGGGAGTGTATGGAGGGACGCGGACCAGATGACAAAGAAAAATTCGCCGCTTAACTGTACACGACAATCCTTTTAGACATTGGCCTATTGGATGTTGAGCCGGCACATTTATTCAAAAGAGATTCAATTTGTGATTTATCGCTGATTGAAGCTTTGGACATCTCGAACCGATTGTATTGCTGGTGAATAATTGCATTTGTAGTTGCATTGAAGTCAAATTGCTCAAAGAAAAGACGACTGACAAATTGAGAGAGAAACTGAAACCAGAAATAGCGGCACAGCAGCTGAAGCTGAAAAAGCTGGCAAGCGGACGTTTTATTTTCGCAATACTCGCTTTTGGATGCAAATTTGCTAATGAAAGCCCAAGTGTCTTCGAGCTACAATAATAATGAGGAGTTAGTTGCCATTCGCTTCGTTTTCGGATACTTTTCTCTGCCTCGGCTGCCAGACTATTGCATTCTACTTCTGGCTCCTTTACAACGCCTCGGGGATTCAGTTTTTGAATTAAAGATTAGATAGTTAATAGGGTGTCGACTGAAGTGACGGAAGAACGAAATTAGGTTTGGACTGTCTGTCCTTTTAAATAGAAATGTTATAGTGCTTCGGCAAATAACTCCAGTATACAAACGAAAAATTGTTGAATCAACATTTTTTTAAATAATTTTATTTGAAAGTGATATTTTTTATTCTAAGCTGTCTACCCGTTAACCCGTTTAATCATCATTCATTAATAAGACAAAAACAGACCAGGTTGAGATACAGTCACAACATTTGTCTTTCTTGTTGGAAGTACTAATTAGCAATATCTATGTCGTATCTTTTTTAACTGTAACGCTCCGCAGGTTTGTAGATCGCTGCTTAGTTCTTGGTCAAATAAGTCAATGTTCTTTCGCAAAGTCCAAATTATCTTGATTATACTGGCGGGGTTTTTGGCAACAATTCAAGTCCTGTTGTGTAAAGGAGGCATAAACGATTGCGATTTGTACAAATGTGAATTAATATTTCGAGAACGTCGGTGCACATTTTTTTACTCTCATTTTCAGCATACTTTTTGAGATCTTTGTGTTTATGAGTGGACTAGGAACTAGTCTAGGTTGTCAAAATATCATCCGCATATCCGGATCTTTTTTCATGTGGAACTGGCGAAGAAATTCGTTAGAACGGAGCTGAGTGAGGGAGCCTACAACTTCTTTTCCATTGCAATTTTTTATATTCCTTTCTTTTAAATTTTGTCATTTCTAAGTATATTCAGTGGCAATTGCACAAGTTTTTGCATCAAATCTATCGATACTTTGAAAATTTTGAACCTCAGTGTGCTGAAGCTGAAGCAGTACGAAGCTTGTATATTTGCCAGGAAAATTCTTACGTACATTTATAGGAGCATTTTTTCGAAAATTACCATTTTCTGATAAGAAAATGTGTACATACAAACCATAGTTGTGAATTTTTGAATTGATTTGCTTTGGTTGATTTTAAATCTTAAGTGATGAATGATGTGTCCATTTCATTTATTTCATTCATTTATTATCTACTTTAATCATCTACTTTAAAGTCCTTTTATTCACTTAGTATTTGGCTTTACTAATGAATTGTATATACTTTCCTGACTGTGTTTCAATTCCAAATCAAATTCATTCCTGGGTTTAAGTCATTTATTGCCTCTATTTATCAATCAAAATACGTTTCGGTGTATTTTTCCACCATCATCAGTTTTCATAAAATAACAGATAGTTAAAAAAAAATTTCATTAATTTAAAAAACAACCACAGTTTGTCAACAGCCTCATCATAGCACACATTAAAATACATCACAATTGCAATACTTAAAAACATTCTAAAATTAATTAGGCCTAACAGGTGATTAGTCAGGACAATCAAATTTGGGAAGAGACTAAGAGACTACCGACAATGTTAGCTCAGTATATCATACATTATTTAAATGAAATAATCATAAAATATTAACTAACACCCGGTATATTGAAGAATTTTGCAAACCAAAAATAATATCCTCAGAATGCAAAGAAAAATAGTTGAAAGTAAAATAAATCAATATAAACAGTATTTTATTATGAACAAAGAATTCTAGTCTCTTCCCAAATTTGATTGTCCTGACTAATCACCTGTTCGGCCTAATTAAATTTAGAATGTTTTAAAGTATTGCAAGTGTGATATATTTTAATGTGTGATATGATGAGGCTGTTGACGAACTGTGGTTGTTTTTTAAATTAATGAAATTTTTTTTTAACTATCTGTTATTTTAGAAAAACTGATGATGGTGGAAAAATACACCGACACGTATTTTGATTGATAAATAGAGACAAGAAATGACTGAAACCTAGGAATGAATTTGATTTACTAATAAATAGGTTCCCTATGATGCATGAGGTTCATTTTCAAATTTCCAGCTATGTGCAAATTAATTCTTCTTACTTGATAATTACATTTCTTGGCGCGCATTAAGTACTCGACTTGGAACTTCTGAATGAAAAATAAAATGGCTACAATTTTGACAATTACACGCGGTGTTAAGAGTCAGAGAAAGAAAGTGTTAAAAATCATAGTCAAGTTTGCATGCCAATGATTCTTAAACTATGCCAAAGATAAATACAAAATACTAATAATTTATTTTCAGATTTATACGACTTCGGTCATAATCACTCTACAAATTATACATTCAATGTAAATGGCAAATCTACACGTATCTCTATAACGATGTGTTTTGACTTTCAATATGGGAGTTTCAGAGATAATTCCCAATAAAATGTACGCGCATTCTTGTGCAGCCATTGAAGTCAACGAGGAACTTGAACAATAAATATTATGTGTCTGGTTTCACGTTTAGTGTATCGTTGCTGTGCAATTTCTTACTGTGTGAGAATTCAGCGGGTTTACAGGTTGTTATTGTTTTCGACCAAATTAATTCACTTGCAGCCAGATCAAGGCCTACAAAGAGGCAGGAAATCTTTCTAGAAATAACAAAGCAGAAATGATGCAAGATTCGATTTTATAGAAATTTTATAGGTTTGCAACGGACAACTCGAGAATTAGTGACTCGAAAAGTAACTAAATTCCACTAAAATGGATCTATTTGAAAGACAGACAGGATACGAACAATTCAACACCAAACATACTTTATAAAATTATCTTATGAAATGAAGCAATTTCATACAGAATCAATTCGATAATTTTCTCTCTCAGAATGCTTGAAGTAATTTATTTTCATTATTTTGTGGGGAGTTGCAAGGAAGTAACAATAATAATTTGTTGGACTGAAGGAAAGTAAGAGTATATCAATTATATCAGTATTTTCAAATCAATTAGTCCCGTAGTGTAATAAAGTTGGGAAAACGGGAACTTTAAATCATTTTTTTTAAATCCGCTTACAACGTGTTCTAACTGTTAGGATGTTCTTGCAACATTACACAGCGATACTTCATTTGAGTTCACTTTTCGGCAGCACATAATAAATCAATTTAAAACCTCAAGCTTCGAGCAAGAGCAACTTCTAAAACATCATTTTATTAATCAATCACACTAATAAAACACATTTAAACCGGCGTTTTATTAGTGTCTTAATTGGTCCCATTTATTCACTTGTGTGTGACATATTTTCGACACGGTTTGGGAAAAAAAAATCACGACGATCTTAAAGGCTGAAAAGTTACCGTTTCAGGCTCTTTTGATATTTCTTGTAATATTTCAGTATAAATACTTCACACTGCCATTTTCACCCCCCAAACTGTTCACAAATTGCAAACAAACATATCTAACCGATGCAATATAGATAGCGAAAAGAATACACCCAGTTAATGGCCAAAATTGAAAATAAACCCATTTGAAGGGAAATTTGATTAAGAAACTGAACGCCCGGCTTCTTGTCGCTTGCTCAAGGAGCGAAACGGCTTTGTAAACGGCTGAAAAAAAAGCGAGCCCAAACAATTAATCATACGGGAAGCTAATAAAGTTTACAGTGGAGTGGAGTGACTAAAGTGCAAAGTACCCCCATGTTAATCCCCGCTTATCGCGTTAAGCATCTTGGCAGCGAGTTTGTGCCTTAAAACAAAGAATTATTTCGCCCCAAAGCTACTTGTTGTGAGGGTAGCTGCGTTTTGAAATAATTTAACGTATTCCGAATGAATTAATTGCCGTACTTGCACGTGTGCCGCACATTTCACGCAGGTATCGGCTCGAGAAAATTCACCTTGTGTTAGCTCAATAACAATCGCAAGCCATAAATCCACCTCTATTTTAATTTCACTCAATCCCCTTCAAGTGGATTTTCAAGGTGTTTCTGTGGTTTTCCCCTGTTTAATTGGTTGTTCTTTGTTTCAGTTTCCCGGCTGTCAACAAGCATGCAAGTTTCATCAAGAAGCTCTCTTTACCGCACAGCAATCGCAGCCAGTGATTCACACCAAAGGAGAAGCTGTTATCCAAGTGTCTGGAGCAAAAGCCCAATGGCCTAGTAGGCCTATTTCGGTAAACCTCAATGTTCCCGTCGTTTACGTGGTTATGAGGAAGAGTCAAACGGGGCCCTGGAGGCAAATCATCCAGACTCTGGACTCTTCCACTAGAGTGCCAGTAGATCAAGGAAATGCCATGTTGAGAGTGCTCGTAGTCGACCCGCAAGGGCTTCTAACGATCTACAGCCCAGATGAGGAGAGCCTGAAGAAGAACAAAAAGCGAAAGAAGACAATCAACACGGAAATCAAAGCAACTACCCTCAAGACGCCTCACTTTGAAGAAAACGCCCCTTGGGTTCTGAAGGAGGTGTCTCTGATCCACCAGAAGGTGCTGGTCATTGGCGAAATAGCCTGGGAACCCAAAACTGTTAGAGGCGTTTACCTAGTCACATGGGAAGTAGATGGAGGAGGCCTCAAAGGCAATCTCTTCACAGACTCCACTTGTGTGACTTTATCTTTATGGCCGGACACGATTTACCACATTCAAGTCGAGTTAGTCTCTAGAATACCGGGGGTAGAAAACATTAAGTCGCAAATGATGGATCTTGATACAGGCCGCGCTCAAAAAGTGTCAACGGAAACAGATGCAAATGCCCTTCCGGAAGAGAGTCCCGAAGAACTCAAGTCGCCTCTACTATCGGTACTGTTTAGCGCTGTTCGAGGTGAGAAAGTAGCCAAGTCCGACCGGTACTATAAAGACGTAGCAGCCGCTCTAGTTGAATGTTTTGGAATTATGGTGGTTTTAGTGTTTGTCATAGTAGCTTTGAGGAAAATCTGGAATGTGTATGTGAGGCGAAGGATGGATCCGCGGAAATTGGTGGAGGATTACAATTCTTATCCAGGTAACTAGCTCTAATTTCTAAGTGGATAGTGCAAGTTTTAACTATATTTTCATCGCCAATTGCTTCTAAGTTCAAACATTTTTTATTGAAGCAGAACAATACGATTTTACTTTAAAAATATATATTCCCGATGTTCGCAGGCACGTAACAATTTGTCGTGGAAATTCTCCATGCCAAGCGAGCCTAACCGAATGGAATCCCTTGATGTCTCTAGTAAATCTATCCCCCATATGGATTGTATATCATATTCAAAAGAATTTGCATTTCTGCGGTCCTGGACAACATGCCATCCGAATTCTGGAATGCACAGGGAGCTCGATGCGGGCTTTTACCAGTATTAAAAATGTCTATTACTAGATCAAAGGATGGGAATGGAAAATGGCCTAAACCGCACGATTTTAAAAGCAATGTTCTTGTTTTTGTCCTACAGGATAGATTTTAAAAAGTGGTGAAAATTGGAATGTAGAAAATAGTATTGTTATACAAAGAGTCTCAAAAATAATTATTACCATCATGATAATAATGCTTCAATTGAAGCAAATGAAGCTGAATATTTTAGGAAAATTTGATATATGTATTTTTTTGAGCAAAGGAATTCCAAAACTCTAATCACACTGGGGAAAACTGGAAATAATTTCCACCGACGGCGATATATCAACCATAGCAAAGCCACAATGATTTTGGTCACCCTGGATAACGAATATTTTAACTCTGCTGCGTCTAATTTTTCATTCATTTTATACACATAAAATTAGCGGGACGTCAACAATTTAAATCAAAAATCGTTACATCAAGAGCAACAAATACATTTAATAAAATTTTGAAAAAAGTTGAGAAACTGAGTAAGCTGGATTTATTAACTAACTTAAAGCATGTACAAGACAAATCAAAATTTTTCATACATAAGAATAATTAACTGTTTTAAGACGTAAAATGTAAAGCCGTTTTTATCAGGTTATTTTTTTCAAGCCATTGATATAAGTTTTCACAAGTTGAGACCTAATTTTATTTTTTTTATCTTCTTTAACTTCCGTATAATCAACAGTATCATCTTTTTGTTTTCTATCCCTCTGTCTATCTAGTCTTTCTGTATTGTTTTGCTTTGAAATTGGTCGTTCATTTTTGAAGGTTTTTCAAATTAAAGTTCCAAATAAAAATTCGATGTTGGAAGACGAATTTATAATATAGGGCAAAAGATAAGAAGATTGAATCAGCAATATTTGACAAAAAGCTGAAACTCGCTCAAATTATTTGAAAAATGATAAGATTTTTATTTAATTGGGTTGAAAATTCTTACTGCCGCGTTTATGCTTTGAATGATGTTATTTTGTATGGAAAAGTGTGACAGAAAATAATGTGCTTTTCTTAGGTAACTTCTTGAAAAAAATAGCAACAAAACAGCAGCTGCAGACAGAACAAAATAGTTGAGAAAATAGTAAAACTACTTAAAAAAAAATAGAACTACAGTTGAGTCCGGATATAACGAACTTGAAAAATGAAGTTAGTAGGTATGACTAAAAAGAACACAAAAAGATAAACAAAATTCAATTTGAAATCTAGTTCATGAAGTCTGTAATTTTTGTTTGTACATTTCTGCTGCAAAAATAGATGTTATTTATGTAGTTTTCAAGATCACAAAAGAACTCCCAGATATGATTAGGAACTTGGCGTGATTGTAGAAAATTCCGAGTTTCTGACACAATTGAAATCACTCAATTTGGTTTTAACTTGTTCTTCGACAACACTGGACATCTTCGTCTGTGTCATACTCGTAGTCAGAGTCTTTATACTTTTCTAACCATTCGTTAAGTGGAATTTTATCGTCTGGTTCATAATCATTTTCTTTTCTTACAAATCCCCCATGCTTAAACCAATTTGGCTTAAAGCAATTATTGGTTTTTCGGCTAACTTTTTGCCAAGCTCTATGAATGAAATTGACTGCATCTAAGAGATTTATAGAAAATGTTTCATTTTTATCGATCGCTCTAACGTTTTTATAAGAATAATTTTTACCGGCAGACTCTCCAACAATTTTTCCGCTACTGATATTATGCCTCTTCTTGAAACTTGAAAATTTCAGATCAAGCAAACTCTTTGTTTTTGATTTTATTCCCCATTTCACTAGCATTTTCTTGCAAATCACTGCCACTTATGGGAACGTTTTCTTGTCTTTTTTGATTAAACCACTTAATAAGTCCCTTGACAACCTTTTCATGTGCAGATAATTTTA